TGGAGAATCAGCCTGGACACCCTCCCTCTAACACAAACTGGAACTGTGTTCTCCTTTCCAAGAGTTTTCTGACTCAAAGAAACCCGACCTTCTTTTTTTCTTGTGCACTAGGTGAAGTTTTTCCGGGAATTCTGCGCCTTTTCTCTCACCTTACCTCGGAAGAGACGTGAATTTCTCAACATTTTGGCAAACTTTGAAATTCTTCCGACTCTTAAAAGGTTAATGGTAAGTGAAAGCTTACAGCTGATTTTCTTAAAACTAGAAAAGCTCTCAGCCATTTCGCCAGGGTTTTGGATCTGCCTCATGTAAGTCTGATTGGAAAGCTTTTTGTCTGCTGAGAGTGGAAGTTCCTTGTAATGTTCTGCCTCCTAAAATCACCCATGGTTCCACTCTGGAGTAGCCTTGGCTTGGTTGTTTTTGCTGTTTTTACTCTGCATGATGGAGAAGTCTGTGGGCAGTGCAGTCCTTGTGACAAGGTTGTGTGACCCTTGAGAGAGACTCTTCTTGATGTGGCAGCTTGATTGTTTTTTTTGTCAGACACAATGCTATCTGAATCCCTGTGGCCTGTAGATGAGCACAGAAATTGTTGTAAACCTTGATTTGTTCACCTGGTCATTTTGTACCAAGGGAATAAATTGTGAATTACAGGTAGAGAAGATCAGTGTCTGAGATAGTGTAGCAAGTAGGGCGATGTGAATGTTTCCGGCCTAAAGTTGGGCTCTCAAGTTCCCAGAAAGAAGGGAAAGAGTGGTAAAAGATCTGTCTGGTTGCTTGTTGTTTTTCTGTAAGTATTTTACTATGTTTTTCCTCTTAGAAACTTTTGTAATGAAACATTGTCCAGACTTGTAAGTGTCTCTTCTTTGCAGCTTCACTTGATCCTAAATACTCAACTTGATAGACTCTAACAAAGTAATCTCTTTTGTTTTAGGGAATGAATGATTTGCAAGTTAGATCTGTTGCTACAGATATATTGTCTTATGTAGTATACTTTCATCCATCCATGGTCCTCAACTTTGTACTGCAAGAGATCCATCGGAATGACAAGGTAAGTAGATTTAGGTCAAAGAGGGAAATAAGAAGCCAAACAAAGTGTCAATTTCTCTCTTTCCTTTTAATTCAAAAGAAAATTGCAGAAACTGGGGAGCTCATTCCATTCCTGCTAGGACTTATTTTGTGTTTTCTTACGTGGTTTCTTTTTGCAGAATGACCAGCTCCTCATTGTGATCATTGAGCAGCTGATCAACAATGCTGACCCTGGGCTTGGAGGAGATAATCAGCTGAAGGAGATTTTGTATACTCTGATTGATCCTCGGAATATGCAGGACAAAGCTAATGTAAGTGAACATGGAGGGCCGAAGACACATCACTGTGTCAACAGAGTTAAAAAAAAAAAAGTCTGAGAGTATTTCTTGCTATTCTCAGGGGCAGAGGGTAAATAATTTTAGGTTTTTTTATTGATTGGACTGTGATCTGATAGCGAGTTTAAATAAGCACAAGAGAAGTGAATTTGGCTAATGAAAGGTGTGTGTCTGGGGCACTGTGCAGGCACTAAGCCAAGCAGTGCCCTGTGGCAGTGCCAATGCACTGTGTGACTGTAGCTCCCTCGAGCTGGATGACAAATCCTGAGGCAGTCCAGTAGAGTCTGTGTGAAACCAAATCAATGTTTCAATAGATTGT